GCTGCAAAATTTGGACCAGGAGAGTCATCTAAGGCCTCACCGAGCATTGCTGAGACCCAAGCGACCCCAAGTCGTGTGAATATTCCTTGGCCAGACTCTGAAGTCACTCCCAGGACGAGCCCGCCTCGTACATTGACAATTCGTCAATCATCTCCCGAGCCTATCACAAAAGTGGTGCCACTAAACACCATTATCATCGATGATGATCCCGCTAGGAAAAGAAAGAACAGAAAAAGGAACTAAAAAAGGTGGTGCCACTAAGAAGGGTAAGAAAACCGTCTCCCCTTCTCGACCCCTTCCTGATGGAATATGGAGTTCCACCTTCTACCTAGTGCACAAAATAGACTTGGCAGAAGACGAGAAGAATGTAGTAGTTGAACACATGCATGACCAATAGTTAGTTCATTTTACCTCAGAATTATCATGTCGGGCAGCATTAGAAAATTGGAAGTTGGCATATGCCTCTGATAGGGGTAAACTAAGAGCTAAACTAAATGAGCCTCAGAATGAAAACCAGAGCCTAAGTATAAAGCTTGAAGAAGCTATTGTTGCCTACTTCAAATGTGATGAAAAGTAGGCAGAGTTAGTCTGAATGATAGTAGATGTCGAACGTATATTGGGGAATGCCCACGCAAATGCTCAAGAGCTAAAAAAGAAAAATGATGAACTGGAACAAACAATTGACAATTTGACAAAACGCAACAAGGAGGTAGAGGAAACTGTTGTTAATGTTAAAGGGCAACTGACCGTGCTCATAGCTTTCAATCGAAACCTGAGTAAGACTATGCGTGATGTATGATTGGAGAAGGATGCTTTGGTTAAGAAATTGCAAACCCATAATCTGTAGATAAATGACATGCATAAAGCCAAATATGAAGAGCATAGCCGAGGGTTCGAGAAAGCTATGAGGCAAATTCCCTGCCTCCTCAAGGTGTCCATCGAAGGAGTTGGGTTTGATGTGATGAAGGATATATATGAAGTGGAGTTGGTAGCGCTAAAAGATATACCTGACGAGGAGTTTGAAGCAGAAATGCCAATCGAGGAAATTGTGGCAGAGTGGGTAATTGAGGAGGAAGTGGTTGAGGAAGCTGAAGGTAATGAAGAAGAGACACCTAAAGAGGTTGGAAGTCGTGAAGAGACCGTAAATCCGCCTACTGAAGGGGATACTGACTCTACAATAAATGTAATAGACTAGGTTTTATTGCCATACTTGACTTACCTATTGCACGCTATGTGTTTTTCAAACTGTTTTGGTTATTGAACTTACTTTACTTGGAGCATATTGAATGTGATCCTGAAATATATACCTTCTTTTGAACTTGAACTTTAAGAATCCTTTAGTTCCCTCCTTTATGCATTATTTGTGCTATATAAATGAATCAAATGTCGTAGAACAACCTTTAAAACTTATACAATTTGTTATAAATATGCAACCTCTTGTTATTAGAAAATGTTGCCTTTGCCAAAGTTATTCGTAGATAATACGATTTAAGTAAATATCTTCCTTACATACTTAGGTTTAGTAAACGAAATTTTATCTAAGTGTATTTGCCAAATGTAAGAGAAGATAAAAGTATGATGTGAACGTTCATCCTTACTCGGTGATGTCAGGAATTTGCATACGATGTTCCCTTGGATTGACGGGGGAATGAGATTTCACTAGGAACATTCCTCATTGTTCGTATGATATTAGGAGTTCATTGAGAACGTTTCCACCACTCGGTATATACTAGGAGTTCACTAAGAACGCTCCCTAGGTTTGTTGGACGAGAATGAGAGTTTACTGAGAATGTTCCTCACTACTCGGTTAATACTAGGAGTTCACGGAAAATGTTCCCTAGGTTTCTTGAACGAGAGTGAGAGTTCATTGAGAACGTTCCTCACTGCTCGGTTGATACTAGGAGTTCACAGAAAACATTTCCTAGGTTTGTTGAACGAGAGTGAGAGTTCATTGAAAAAGTTCCTCACTGCTCGGTTGATACTAGGAGTTCATGGAAAACGTTCCTAAGGTTTCTTGAACGAGAGTGAGAGTTCACTAAGAACGTTTCTCACTACTCGGTTGATACTAGGAGTTCACGGAGAACGTTCCCTAGGTTTTTTGAACGAGAGTGGGAGTTCACTAAGAACGTTCCTCACTGCTCGGTTGATACTAAGAGTTCATGGAGAGCGTTCCCTAGGTTTCTTTAGACGACCCTACACCACATGATTGAATGAAAATTGTTTGACTTTATTCATAGCAAAAATGTAATCACAAAAGAATTCAAATGCAATAATTGTTAACAAAAGAATTCAATTGAAACGAAGTATGACAAAAGAATTCAACTAAAGTAAAATTTACGATGAGTTGTATTCCAAGTGTTAGGGATGGGTTTCCCATTCAGCAACAACAACCTCCACGCCCCGATTTCTTCAAGGAAGAAGGAATGGTGTGACCTTTAATCCGGCCACATAGCACTTCCGAGCGGTTCGCTGATCAACCCGCACTGTGCAAATGATCCCTTTGTCCGGCGGGAACTTCATTGTCAAGTAAGGCATGGAAACTACAACTCCAAAATCATTTAATCATGGTCGTCCTAATAAGACGTTATACGAGGTATTGGCCTCCACTAGGGGTGGGAAAAGTATATTGCACTGCAATATACTATAAAATTTTGTAGTTAACTACAAAACAGTTTGCCTAAACTGAACTGAACTAAAAAATAGTTCAGGCAAACTGAACTGAACTAGTATTAAGTTCAGTTATAGTACAGTATAGTTCAGTAAACTAATTTTTAGTTTACTTATAAAGTAGTGCAATAAACTAGTTCCACTTTCTTCCAAAACTAAAAAATATTGTTGCAATTTATAAATGTTTGTCCCACGGGACTCGGAAGCTTCTCGCTAGAGCTGTCAATTTGACCCATGACCCCGGGGCTAGCTCTAACCCACTCTTGAAAAAGCCCCCTCTTAAGAAGTCCCTCAAATGGGACCCGAAAAAAAGCCCCAACCCCCAAAAGCCACCTCTTAAGGAGGTTAGGGTCAGGGTTAAGGTGGGTTTAGCCCACTAAAAGATTTTTGGAAACTAAACTTCAACATTCTCATAATAAAAGTACAAAATTTTATATTCATGAAATTGATTTCTTATTTCAAATTATTAAATAAAACTAATTAATTATAGTATAGTAGAATATTTAATATTCAAAATAACTACTTTTTTAAATAATTAAAAAGAATTGCAAACCACACACTTAATTTTATACAACTAAGTAGTATTACAAATTTTTTTTTGCTAAAATATTATAAAGATGTTTTATTTTGTTGTCAATTTTAATAAAATTATGTCTTATATTGCAAATACCAATTATTAGAAAATTATATATAATTAGTAATATCAAAATAACCCCAAAGAGAGATAATAACATATTAAATTAATTTAATATTTGCACTGCTTTTATAGTTCTTAAAAAGAATCACTCTTTTTTTTCCTCAACTTCTAAAATATCACTCAATTGGTTTTTAATTATTTAAAATTAAAAATAATTCAAAAATTTATTATCTAAAATTTTTAGATATTTTTAATTTTAAATAATTAAAAAGAATTGCAAACCACACACTTAATTTTATACAACTAAGTAGTATTACAAATTTTTTTTTGCTAAAATATTATAAAGATGTTTTATTTTGTTGTCAATTTTAATAAAATTATGTCTTATATTGCAAATACCAATTATTAGAAAATTATATATAATTAGTAATATCAAAATAACCCCAAAGAGAGATAATAACATATTAAATTAATTTAATATTTGAACTGCTTTTACAGTTCTTAAAAAGAATCACTCTTTTGTTTCCTCAACTTCTAAAATATCACTCAATAGGTTTTTAATTATTTAAAATTAAAAATAATTCAAAAATTTATTATCTAAAATTTTTGGATCAAAAATAATATTAATATTTTATGTGTAAATTAAACATATGTTTTATTTTGTTTTTTTCTCTCTGATAATCTTTTCTCAAAATCACCATAAGATATATTATAAAAAGAAAATTAATTTCTGAAAAATTTATAAAACAAAGAAAATTTTAAATAGACGTAAAGTACTAAAGAATGACAATGTTATAGTGTTTCAATTCTTTAACTAACACATTAAATAATTTATTTTTAACTTTCAATTAGAACACATAACATAAATGTATGTTTATGTTTATCACATTTAAAATATAAACATTTTGAGTGAGTAATACGACGAAATTGAATCCTGTGGACAAATACAACTATAGCTTGCACAATGTTTATGATTTTTTTCTTTTTACTTATTATTTATGTTATGAGCATTGTTTGTCTGAGTATAAAATGAAAAATAAAATCATTTATATTTAATTTCTTTTTCAATAGCTTTCTAAGAAAATAAAGAAGCCTTATTTTTTTTTTAAATTAAGAGCTTCAATTATAGAAAATCTTCTCTTAAATTTCAATTAGGAAAATTTTAGATAGAAAGTTAATTTATGACTTATAACCTAAAAAAAAGCGAAATTAAATATTTAAATTTCAAATTTATAAAATGATCCTTTAATTATATACTTAGAGAATCTAACTCAATAAATATTGTAATTTTGCTTTTGTTTCTTGATTCTAGAACTCTCCTCCTATAAAAATTTCAATTTATTTTCTATAGTAACTATTTTTGTAACAAATTAGGAGTTAATTAAATTTTTTCTTGTATTCAAAATGAATATTTTTTCTAAAAAAAAGGCCCATAGGTTGGCCCTGGCCCATAGGGCTTTTGAAGAAATTTTGGCCTTGTGGGCTTTTTCTACAAGGTGCTTTTTGGCCCTGTGCATTTTTCTGGTCCCAACCCACGTGGGTTAGGGGCAAACCATGTAAGGGGGGCCAAATTGACGGGTCTACTTCTCGCAGCTTTTGAAAAAACAAACAACTTGCAAGAACTAAATTGAAAAGGTAGAGTTATTGAATACACAATTCAAAAGTAAAATCGATAACTGAGATTTAAACATGTATGTCATGGTTCTACTTTAGCTATGTCATATGATACAACTCTATTTGTTGTCAAATCACTCTTGTTTCCAACTAAAAGTTTGTAAACATTATCAATAGCATAGCAATCAATTTCACTGAGCCACTGCTTCACATTATTGAAGCTATCTTCATTTGTCACGTCATAAACAATCCATGAAAGGAACCAGTTAGAGAAGAGTGCAACAAAAGGCAATATCCTTGAATTCAGACAAATCCCAGGGATACAGTTTATGAAAAAAATTCAAACAAATTAAGCTCTGAGTATTATAAAATATATGCGTATGATATATCCTTGAATTAGTGACTAATCCTTGAAATAAACCAGACCCCACAGGAAAATGAATAACCAAAAGTGATACCTTTTGACCTGAAAGAGAAATTGTTCGTCTGCAAGAACCTGTTTCATTTTCCTCGTTCACAGGCTTTTCCTCTGTACTCATTTTTTTTCTGGGTTAGGGAAAAAAGGACCAAGTTCGTGTTTAATATTACACAATTACAGGGTAAAGAGTGAGCTTATTGCTTACCAAAACAATTGTTGGATAAAAATAAACCACTAATGGATTTAGAAATCATTAAAAAAAAAATTAATACCTGAATGAACTTTTTCCAAGAAACACCTAAACTACTTATCGCATTCACAATGCTAGACCCCTATTTAAAGTCATGTAGTGCCTACTATTTTGTTTACTCTAAATAACAACTTCTCTGCTAAATAAACTAAGATTTCTGTATTAACTAAGATTGCTAAGAATGTATATGTATAGTTGCTGCTCATAGATACAGTGGCAGGCAGGGATCAAAATATATCACATTCCCTCCCACACAGTTCAAGAGGCAATCTACTATGGCTAGTTGTAGTTACTGCAGAAGCAGGCTTTTTCTGCTCTTTTCTTCTTCCAAAATGTGTGTCCTTCTTTCTTAATATTAATAGTGAGTTAAAGATAGATTAACAGTAATATTACTTAAGCAAAGAAACCAGCAAGACTCTTTATGAGTCATTTGGCAGAAGCGGATTAAATAAATAAACAAAGGGTGAAGCTTCCTTAGAAGTTTTTTAGAAAAGGTGATTCTCTCAGTTATATATATATATATATATATATATATATGAATGACGCTGTCAAAAGCCAACACAGTGTCATACATAGTTAGTTTGGTCCCACAAAACAAACCACACACTGTTGTGTTTTTTCTATAATCCGTTTGTCATTTTCCAGATTCAACTTGTCACAGAAAACATCTTTTTTTCTTTCTCTCTTATAATATTCAAATTATTCTCTGGCATAATAATATCTACAAGTACATTATAGAAAAATAGAAATTCTAAATACAACAAAAAAATTCAACAAATTCAGTCAGAACTTAGAAAAATGATAGGAAAAATTTGGAGAAGGAACCGATCATACCAAGAAACTTAAACAACTATTTGGTTCTCCATACTCATCTATTCTCTCAAATCAAACTAATATAATTGGGCTAACTATAAACTGAGAATTTGACAAGCTAAGAAGTCACCAAGAGCTTTGAAGAGATACCAGAATGCAAACCAAAATTCAACTTCTTTCATACTACACTCAGTTCTTGAAAGGAAAAAGGTAAGGAAAATATCTCTAAACAAGGTGACAGTATTGGAACAAATTCAGATACAGTACTTGTTATGGAAGGGAACTCTGTCATGGAACAATTTCTCCTTTTTTTCTCTTTTACTTTATAATTACAAAAATATAACTTTTGAATTACCATATTAAATTATCAAAATATATTTTTCTTATTTTTGTAATAAGTGCTTTTGCATTTACTAGTTTAAGAATGTCACATGCTAACATTTATATCTACAAGTGTTACAAAGATGCTGGAGTAAGATATTATTTATGCAGGATCCAAAAGTCATATGGGCCAAAGTTTGCTCTTTATATAATTTAAACTTTGCCCTTATAATGATACATCTATATCTAGTATTATCCATTTGTCCTTACGAACATACAAAGCAACACATACTCGTTCAGATTATCAGAACTACAATCCTTATACATACAATCTTAACCAAGTTGATTGTCTATTGTTATAGAGGTAAATGATTCAGTTAATGATTAGAACCTTTATGCTGTGTTCACTTCTATGGATGGAACTATTCACATGAATTTGCGAAGAATGATTTGCGATGAAATCTCTGTTCACATTAATGAATTTGAAAGGAAGGAATGGAGAGTATTTGGAAGATGCAATGCTTTTTGAATCTTTGTTGATGGGAAAAGATTTGCACTGATTATGGGTGAAAAACCCATTTTATCCCTTACAAAAAGGCAAAAGTAAAATAGATGATGGAACTCATTCCAAGTAACTTGTATCTGATTCCAAACTCCTGTATCCAATTATAATACTTTGTATTCGGTTCCAATCATTCATCTTCAATTCCAATGCTTCAATGAACTTCAATCTACATTATACTTCATAATAATAATAATAATAATAATAATAAAAATGATAATAATAATAATAATAATAAATAATTATAATAATTATTATTATAATTATAATAATAATAATAATACAATTTTTTCATGTTAAAAATTAATTTTTATATTTTTCTTTTTTTTAATATTTTTTACAATTATATAATATTAACAATTATAATTTTATAACTTTTAATATTACTTTAATAATTAGGGGTATTTTGGTAATCTTTAATTTCTATCAATTAAACAAATTTTTTAAAATTGTTACATCAATCAAATCTACACTAATTCTCACAAATTTTACCTCTAAATTCACTCTCAATTATCTCCAAATCCACTCAAATAAACACACAAAAAATTCTCCTCAAATTCCCTCAAATCCACTCAATCACTCTCCCCCAAATCATCTCCCCCAATCACCCCAAGTGAACACACCCTTAAACTTTACATCTTGGTATTCACTTACCTAAACTTACTTTCAGCATGTTACATAACTAAAACAAACCAATTTAGCATGAAATGCTAAGGTCCAATAGTATTTAAGAATTAACAAATTTCATACAATGCATTACACACGGTCAATATCAACACCAAGGAAAACATTCAAATAAAACCTAAAACAGAAAAGTCTAGAAGCACACGGAATCACTTTCTCATGGGCATATAAACAAACATCTAGAGATCATAAGTTTGAGAAAACCTAACCCAATGTAAATGATGAGTCAACGAGAAAAAGATATCAAAAGTGGAAGCAAGAATGGAAAGCTTGAAGGCTTGTCGAGCAGGGGAAGAAGCACCCATCTTGAATATAAAAAGGGAGGATGCTCCTCCCACGAGAAGAAAAAAAATCAGTAAAGATAAAGATTATGAATTTGTTAATAACATGAGAGAAACCTGGAGGAGCCATTGACGCTGGAGAGAAAAGAGAGTCGATGAGGAAACCCTAGAGGGCTAATCGAGGGAGATGGGAGGAGGGATGGGCGACGACGAGATGGGCGACGGTAGAATGGGCTACGGCAAAATGGATGACGGCGGGATGGGCGGCAGCAAGAAGGAAGAGGACATCGGACCTTGGCAAAATCTGAGTCGTAGTGATAGAAAAAGAGATTTTGATGGAGAAAGGATAAAAAAACTCATGTGTTAACTTGTTAACTAGTTAACTATCTTAAGTTTCAGTTAACTGCCTTAAGTTTTAGTTCTTTTAACCTGAACTATAAAATAATTGAATTAGTTTTTAGTAAAAACAGTTCAATTTTTTTAAGTATAAAATAATACAGTTAATTATAGTTTAAGTTCAGTTTGATGAACTATGCCCACCCCTAACCTCCACCAGTAGAAACCTTAACCTAATCTTCCTTGAGTCTCTACCTGTGCCGAGTTGAGTTCTCAAGTCTAAGTAACCTCGAGTGTCAACTCTTTCACTCACGAACCCCACAATTAAGTATCATAACTCAATTAAGCTTGCTTATCTCTACATCTTACTTCTACATTTATGAGTTTTTTATGGTCTTTAAATTGACGTTGGCCCAATTAACGCTATGTATTAACTGTCAATTTGTAATTATTATTTTAACCACTCTAAATCTGTTATTATTATCTTATCAATCTATTACTAAGTTACTAATTGTTTGTCTATCCAATCCACTGGTCCAATAGCACCATTATTGGCGTTAACGCAATTGCACTCCAACACCCACAAGCCCACTACACCTTCCTAAGTTATAATTTACATATGTGGTGATCATGTAAACTTTTTCTTAGGTTTAAAGGTTCCATATGTGCGGAAGAAGTGAAGAAAACATTAAGTGCTTATTTTGTTTTTATCTGTAAAGTGCAACGCGTGTGTGGAACCTATGCAACTCTTGATCAGATATAATCACAGTACAACATAACCAGGCAGAAAGCACTTCCAATAGTTTCCAATCTGAAGAGGCATGTCTTAAGGAATACAACTATCCCTATAATCCCATATCTAAAATCAAGTAAGACTAATTTAGACATTAAGTATTTGGCACAACAGGGTTAGTGTTTGCTTATGTGTAGACTTTCTTGATTTTGCATATTGGTTTGCATATATGTTTCCTTTTTTCTTCGAACAAAAAAATGCAGACATTTTCATATTTTTTATTTCTTCACATCAAGATTTACTTGCATCAATTAGCTATTGCTTCTTGTTAAAATATAAACACCGAGATAAATTGAATTTGGATTTAATTTAGCGTTTTGTATATATAGCTTTGCTGGTAATCTTGGCTAGCAATTGCAAGAAGTGGTTGTGCAAGAAGGATATCATCGTCTGATTGAGAAAGATTGATTGTTGAAACATCGGTAAGGAAAAGGAAGATCGAGGTGAATTACTTAAGATAAGACTTTTACAGTAAAAATGGATTATTCATGGCCAAATAGAGGTAAATCATTTGTTTTAGGCTTAAATAAAAAAAAAAGGTTTAAAAAAATTTGTACTAATATTTATTTATTAAATTAATTATAAAATTATGTTTTTGAAAAAAGACTTAAAATATTTTTTAGTAGTAATATATCTTTATTAAATTAATTATAATATTATGTTTAAGAAAATAAAAGGTGTCAATTTTTTTTAATATTTATACTTTTATTAAATTAATTATGACTTTATGTTTGAGAATAAAATTTAATTAAATTATTATTAGTGTTTGTTAATTGGTATTAAGAATGATATTTAATGTGTTAAAACTTTTTTCAATAAATTATAATTTTGCTGAGAAAAAAAAATGATTAGTTATCTTTTTTTTTATAATCAATTTCATTTTTTATAATCAATTTCATTTTTTATTTTTTATCTCTTTGTTACTTCTCATCTCCTCATTTTTCCTTTCACTTTTTTCTTCCATTTTAGAGTTTTTTTCATTTTCTTAAATTTCATTTTGTTTATGTTGGTTAGTATATTATTCTCTCTATTTGAGTTAGTGTTGTTTTTATTTCATTTGTTGAATTTGTATTAAAATTAGAAATGTATTTATTTTGTCCAATTTTATTTTGTTGTACCTTTCGATTTGTGGGTTTTGAAACTTTTTCAGCCTATATTTTGAGAAGTAACTGAAATTTTCACTTAGTTTGAAGTGTATAACTATTAATGATGTTAAAATTTAGTAGGATATTATGAAATCTTTAATGAAATAAACAATGAACAAGAATTGGAGTTAGAAAACAATGTAAAAATTAAATTAAATTATTTACGATAACTTTAAAGATAATTTGCATAAAAATAGGCTTGAAAAATAAATCTTAAATAAAAGAAATCATTCTTAGGATTCTTTTAGATTTTCTAAATCCTTGAATCGCTCCTGCTATTAGCTTAGCGCTAAAATTTTCTTATAAGTATTTACTGTAAAGAATCATGAAAGTTTTATATTGGACAAAACCTATTAAGTGTAATTAGGACATGATTAAACTTTAAAATCATTAGTAAGTAACAATTAAATTTAAAGATTATAAAATAATTTGTAAGTGATTAAGCTAAATAACATTTTATAAATTAAAAATTATTTATATTTAAAATTATATTTTATGAATAAAAAAATTATAATTAGTTTGGAAAATAAAATTTGAATTGACTTCTAATATTATAACTACAAGATTTTAGTTACTACTTACTATTTTTTTATACTAAATTAGTCTCTAACTTAAAATAAAGACTAATTTAGACATTAAGTATTTGGTATCTAATGTTGGACTTAGTTTATACTCTAATTCACAAATTTATTATATTTTTTTATGATAAAAATTATTTTAGTTATCAATAATTTTTAATTTATAAAATAATATTTAACTAACCAATACAATTAATAATTTTTCATTTTTAAAATTAATTCTTATTTAATAATTTTTAAACAGTTGACTTACACATCGGGGGCATCAAAATATGTAGTGATCATATTGAATACATAATGTTTTGAACGTATTGCTTTTAATTAATTTTTATGAACGCCAACTTGGCTTGGCACTTTTTACTGTGTGGTTTTATTAATATTATTATTATCACTATTTACAAACCCAATTCAATTAACAGTGTGTAAGTAATTATTTACACAAATTTATTATTCCACGCCCTTTTTTACACGCTAAAGTTCTTACAATAAAGGAAAAATTCTATGGCCCACACTTAACCTAGTGATACATATTAAAATTCATTTAATATATATTATAGACACAAAATAATAATAAGAAATAACTTTTCTATCTGTAAAAGAAAAAAAATCATGAAATTAATGTAAAAATATTATGTTTTAAAATATCTTTTTTGTATTTGTAAAAAAAAAACTGATTTACGGATAAAAGATAACTGTTTTTGAGATATTAACAATTTATAAATATAATCAATATATAATAAAGGTAATCAATTTATAACAATATTTTAAATTTATATTTATAGTTTTTGAAACGAACTTCACTTAATATGAGTCAAATTACAGTCCAATAAATAATAAACTTACTTAATTTTAATGTAATATCTTTTAACAATAATTTTTGTTTAATCCAAATGTTCAATTAATTAATGAACTATTTTAAAGTTTTAAACAGATAGAACTATCTAGTCTTTTATCGATTATACAATCATATTATACAAAAGAAAAAAAAAGTAATGTAAAATAGTGTAAAATTAGTGATTAGACAATCAAATCATACAAAAGAAAAGAAGAAATAATGAAAAATAGTATGAAATTAATGTAAAAAGATGGTTATAAAATATTATTAATCTTTGGAAAAGCATGTTAATGATTGTAATATAGTGTTGCAAGTACCTTTTCTGAATCAACTAATAGAATGGAGCCTTTGTGCATTTAAAGCAAAAAGCGGGAAGATTTTGTGGAGGCAAAATCTATATATGGCGACATGTCAACTCCTGAAAGTTGCATATTTATTTCGTCGTCTCGCTGTTATACATAACATCACCAATTATTTTCCCTACGTTTGAATTATGATCGTTTCTCACTTTATTTCATCTGTTATAACTTCTATCTCAATATATACATTTATGAAGACATATGAATCAATCTCTACCTAATTTTTATAAGAACCAATAGATCAATAATTTTATGCATAAATTTGCATATAAACAACAATGGACCATGAAAACCTAGTTTTTAGGATTTTATTTGTATTTTAAATTTAATTTTTTATTTTAGTTAAATTAATACTTTCTCAAAATAAAAAGAATAATAATTCTTTGACACACTTAAATCTTTTACATTCATTTTACACTACTTTTACTTATTTTTTATTTTTTTTCTTAAAACAATAAAAAATTTACATTTTTATAATATTTTACTCTTATAATAAAAATGTGTCATAATATATTAACGACAACTGTCAAATTGATTTAATAAAATGAGAGTCCGATGACATAGTTGTAATTAAAGTAAATTTTATAATGAGTGTTATCGTATCAACCGTCTCTAAATATTCAAAAGTTAGTTCATGAACAGTAGTTAAAAAATAGCAATGGTTTTAACATTTAACCATCGTGAAAACGTTTTGTACAATAAAATAACAACGACTTAATGTAATAATTGTCATTAAAATAGTTTGTGAGAGTTAAAAATTTCACATTTTCACTTCTCGAGACATGAACAATTCTTCTTCTTCACTTTCGGTCGTCAATGCACAATTAGTTTCATCGTTATTCATTGTTCAAAGTCGTTTCTGGGACATCCTTTGCTGTGTGTTAATAAAAAATGGGTTAAATATGTTTTTAGTCCCTAAACTATTGGCCATTTCTGGTTTTCGTCCCTCTTCCAAAGTAAGGTACACTTTAGTCCTCATACTTTTCGAAACTTTGGTTTTAGTCCTCCAAAACTAACACCGTGAAAAATATACTGACGTGGCTAACGGGACTGACACAGTTTTTTTTTTTTTCAGAGTTTATCAGCTTTTCGGATCTTTCTCTCTCCCTCGTTTTTTCCTTCAATTTCAAAACACAACAATAAAATCTAAGCACTGGGTGCCGACGTTCAGCCTCCAAAGGTGCCACTTCCAAACCTCAACCTTCATCTTCTTCTTCTTCAACCTCGTTATGCCTTTCGGAACTTAGTGAGGATTTCACGCTATTAAAGCTACAAAACCCTGAATAGTTATAAATCCACACACACCCAGATTAAAGAAAAAAAAAACATACTGTATAGCCATTAAAGTTACAGAAACATGAAAAATTATTTAAGAATCTATATTCCTAATAATGAGAGAAATTTTTCATTTCGTGTATCTCTGTGTGGCCACCACATATACAGAGAAAATGGAGTTAATTAATGATGGATGGTGTGAATTGAAAAAGAGAGAACCTGTGGTAGCAGTGGACTATGCGTGAAAGAGAGTAAGTTTTCCTCCCTTCATCATCATTCTCTTAAACTCCTTGAAATTCACCATACCATCTCCATCCATGTCAACCTTCTTAATCATCTCTCTGCACTCTTCACTCTTCTTCCCTTCCTTTAACCCCAACGAAGTAAGCACCAAAGCTAGCTCCTCCACCGAAATAACCCCATCGTTGTCCTTGTCAAACACATCAAAAGCTTCCTTTAGATTAATCTCCGCCTCCTCTTCTTCTTCTTCTTCTTCATTTTCATCTTCTTCCTTTTTCCCTCCCATACACTCCCTTGTCAACAAGCAAAACTCCTCAAAATCTATCAAGCCATCACCGTTCGAATCGTACTTCACAACAATATCGTCCACCTCTTTGTCTGTCATCAAGATTCCGATGTTCCTCAGGGATTCACTCAGCTCCTGCTTCGTCACGAAACCGTCACCGTTTTTGTCGAAAGTGGAAAACACCCTTTCGAGCTCTTCCTTCTTCCTGGAGGAACCGTGCTCCACCTTGGCCGTTGGTGAAGGAGTGAGGGCGGTTTTGGTTTTGCAAGCACTGCTGGGGAGGAAAATTTGAAGGCACGTGGTAATCTTGTTGGTGGATACTTGAAGGAAGATATTTATGAGACCTGCAATGAAGAGCAGGGCCAGTAACAGTGTAGATAGATCCATGGTTTTGTTGGATGTGATCTAGGAAACAAAACAGAGGGTAAGGGATAAGGAAGAAGAGAACCACGAAGAGAAGGAACAGAGTATAGTTTACTTTTCAGAACAACCTATGAACCAAAGATTATACAAAGAAACTTCGTCTGCTTTTGAGGTTTTTGTTTGTTTCGGAAAACAATATTATAAAGGCTCCATTTAGTGACTCAAGTTTAACCATCTCTTCTATACAGTTTATATAAACTAATAAAATCCTCACCAAGTTCCGAAAGGCATAACGAGGTTGAAGAAGAAGAAGATGAAGGTTGAGGTTTGGAAGTGGCACCTTTGGAGGCTGAACGTCGGCACCCAGTGCTTAGATTTTATTGTTTTGTGTTTTGAAATTGAAGGAAAAAACGAGGGAGAGAGAAAGATCCGAAAAGCTGATAAACTCTGAAAAAAAAAAACTGTGTCAGTCCCGTTAGCCACGTCAGTATATTTTTCACGGTGTTAGTTTTGGAGGACTAAAACCAAAGTTTCGAAAAGTATGAGGACTAAAGTGTACCTTACTTTGGAAGAGGGACGAAAACCAGAAATGGCCAATAGTTTAGGGACTAAAAACATATTTAACCCATAAAAAATAACTAATTATATGTATATCTATGGATTAAAACTTATTTAAGTCTAAATTTTAAAAGTAGTCATTTAAAAAATACATTAATATTTCAAAACAGAAACAATTGACCTACTAGATGAACTTAAATTACAATCAGATAAATATATTTTGGTAGAGTTTTAAAATGGATAATATCTTGAACGTAAAAATCTCAATATAAATTTTACTTTTCAAATTTAATAAATTTGAGATATACTGTATAACGTCACGTCTTTCTTTCTTTCTTTTCAATTTTAGTAAATTTGATATAAGTGATCCTGATGTGAAGTTTTCTTTTTGTTTAAAGTTTAATACATTTGAGATTACGGTGTAGGAAATAATAGATAATAAGTTTTTACATAAAAATATTTGATAAATAAGAATTAGATATTTAAAAATAATGGATGAGCCTTGATCATTAAAAAAAATTTTAAGGAACAAATTCTGATAATAAATCGTCATAAATGAATAGAAATTTTACATGGAGTTTATATTTCAATAATAACAGTGAAATTCCAACATATATATGGTTTGAAAGTCCAAATTAGTCACGGTTGCAGTTTTAATTTTTGTTTTTGAAGTATAAGTTAGCTAATATTTTAATTTTTAATTAGATATTAATTACCAATATTTAAATAAACTGTATATTGGTTGTATGGCATCAGAAAAAAATAACCTATTATTACTTCTTCCTTTCCTTTTTCAAGCATATGGTTTTTCCATTATTTTCGAAATTCAAAATAATATGATTATTTTTTAAGTTTTTGTATATTTATTATTCTCCTAAATTTTAATTAATTTGCGTATTACATTTATTATGATTTAAAATGAAAATAATATAAATATTTTATTAAAATTAAAAGTATATTACATTTGGTATAGTTTCTCCAAATAAACTTTATGGATGGGTAAAATATAAGGTTATTTTAATAACTTACCAAAATATTTATTATGGAACTTGTACCTTGACACTGTTTTTTTATTATATTCCTATTTAAACACTCATAAATATTATTATTGTATTTCAAATTTAATCTTTATTATTTTTATCTATTAAATATAATATTTTATCAATGAAGGAAGAGTCAAAAGGAAGTAACACAAAAAGTGAGTGCCAAAATACAATTTTCCATTTATTATTGTGTATGAAAACCAAGAACAAAATAGAAAAATTCAAAGACATTCCTATTGTATTACAGTATCATGTTGAGTCCTTCTTTTACACTATATGACAGACATTTTCATAATTAATCAAACAAATGCTTATCGTATTACAACAACATTTATTGCCAATGTTAAAGTATGTATAAACGCTTAGGTAAATTAAATTTGGGTTTAATTTAGAGTTGATATAGCTTTTGTGGTAACCTTGGCTGAGCAATGGCAAGAAGTGGTTGTGCAAGAAGGATATCATCGTCTGACTCAGAAAGGTTGATTGTTGGAACATCGGGTGGGGCAGTCCAAGTGAAGCCATGGAGCAATCTAGCAAACAGCATCACTGTCATTGTCGTTCCTAACATCACTCCGGGACAACCTCGTCTTCCTGTGCTGAATGATATGAACTTCAGATTTGGTTCAGTCAAAACCACATCATCTGCATCACTCTTGAGGTGGCGTTCAGGTTTGAACTTGTAGGGTTCATTCCACACTTTTGGGTTTCTTCCAAGTTCTTGTCTGCTTAGCAATACGTGGCTACCCTTGGGGATGAAGTAATTCCCCACAACAGTGTCACTCATAGAGACATGGGGAGGAATGAAAGGAGCAATGGGATGAAGACGAAAAGCTTCTTTGGCACATGCCTTCACATAGTTGAGATTAGGTATGTCTGATTCTTGGACCAGCCTGTCTTTTCCTACCACACTGTCCAATTCTTCGACAGCTCGGCGCAGTATCTCAGGTTGGTTAATCATCTCAGCAAGTGCCCATTCAAATGCATTGGATGGATTGTCCACTGTTGCAAGCATCAATTCCTAAAAAGACAGTTCGATTTTGAGTTTGAATATTGATATCGAATTTCATCTTTTCAAAATGCATGATATGGAGTCAAATCAGAAACTATTGTATAGAAGTAGGAAAAAACAAAGAGAGAAGTGAAGTATATATTACTATGATTTGTGCACTGATCTCTTCCAATGTTAACGATGGATTATTGTTGGCATCTTTGAGTGAGATGAGAACATCAAGCCAATCCTCTGCATCAACCTTCAAACCATCATTCCATTGTTTGATTCTCTGGTGAACGATGGGGTCATGATACTTCTTAACGTTCCTCAAAGCTTCCTTCACTTTCTTCTCATGGCCATCCAAATCAAGTCCCCTCAAGCATGGCATATAATCAGAAACAGAAAAGGAATAAATGTAGTTGAGCAAATCAAAGATGGAATCAACATGTTCTACTTCTTCAAAGCCGGGCCCTCCATCCTCTCTGCCATCCCCAAAATACCTTACATTAAAAGTAATTTTTCTGATAAGGTTGCCACAATAATGCCTCGCAGCACTCCTAACATTGACAAGGCCAGAAACACCATCATTCACCATTTTGCACTTGTTGTAGACGTAAAACATAAGGTTGTCAGCCTCTTCGGTTCTTTTGTCGTGAAGCCATAGGTGTTTGTGTGGAGAAAGCAGATCGTGGGTTATGATTTTCTTCATTTTCTTCCACTGGTCACCAAAGGGCACAAAAATTGTTGTTGAATATCCACTAGTAATGAGATCAGTGGACAGGCTGAGTGATCTTGATGCAAAAGTAGCATCTTGTTTTCTCAAGAACTCGGTAGCAATGGTGGGACATGTGACTGGGATGACATAGGCATTTCCTAAGCGGATACAAGCAATATCAGTGTTCATTTGTTTCATGAGATTATGTATCCACTTATAAGCAGGTTTGCTTGCAAGCATTTCAGGAAGATTGCCTACAATGGGCCATGGTTTGGGTCCAGGAGGGAGCTTTGGCTTTTGTTTCTTGGAATAAGTCTGGATGAAGTTAGACCTTAGGGTTTTGATCATAATGATGAAGCAGGTGATTATGACAACCAAAGAAGGCCAAAAGCTTTGAACATTTGACAACAGAAGAAATGGGGTTTGAGCCATGGTTTTGAAAGCTGAAGTGCTTATTTTTAGCTTGGCTTTGGTGAAGTACTTTGAGAGAAAAAGTGGATGATTCATAAGCAAACATTGGTGCGTATTTATAGCATACTTAAAGCTGCATGCCAAATATATGGAAGATATGCATTAAGACGTTCAACTCTATTAGCGCGTGGAAAGCCTTTACACAGAAAACATGTGCATGATTAAAGTGTTTTACCTTTGCACGGTGCCGTGAGTAAAAATGTGTTTCATACGTTGGATTTTATTTATTAATTTTTTATGAAGGTGAGCTTGGGCTGGAACTATTTATAGTGTGGTTTGATTAATATTATTATTACTGTTTACAATTTTATAAGAGCGTGTATAAGTAATGCTGTTGGATTCCGATGTTTTCCTTGTTTAACATAAGTAAGAGCGTGTATAACAAATATTGAAATTTCAGAAAAAATAATAAATAAAAATAACATAAAAGGATTATGGTCTTCATTAATAAACTCGTACATTTTTTACTGTTTTTTTTTTCTTCATTTGCATCACAGGAGAAAACTGTATTTTACACTTGAAGATCAAATACCTTTGATATAAGTTTTTTCTATGACTAATACAAATATATTTGTGATTATTGTTTTATGAGTATTAGAAATTACTCTATTAGTTAATGAAATGGTTTATTGTTCATTAATAATTGATTTATTTTGGATTTACAATCTAACTCTTTTATAGTGCAGAACCGAATAGTCATTAACTAAACACATGCCTTTACTTGTTCCATTACTTTATACGTGAAATGGAATTTTCATAGCAAAATTTAGACGTGAAACTCAGATGAGTTTAATCAATTTAATGAATATTAGCATATATATTGAAAAGGAGTTATTATTTGGAACATCTTAATTGAGAAATAGTATATTGTAAACTCAATGGATAAGATTTCAATATGGTGACAAATTGTGAAAGGCGGCAGGTACCAAGATGACTCACTGGGAAGGATTATACGGAGTCGTCATCTACTAATCACCACGGTGAATTAATACTTTATTTGTACGAAGAACCCTTAAAAATTGAGGAAGGTATGATTTTCATATTATAATTTCAATATGCTTTTGAGATTGAAGTAGATTAAAATAAAAAATAGTAATTTGACAAAAACAAACTTATATCACAAATTATGGCACTATCTTTAATAAAATAAACCTAATATATATATGTATATTATTTTTTAAATTTTTCATAAATTAAGTTAATATATCATTCAAATTTTGCTGTTTGATTAATTTTACTTTTCATATAAAATTCTTAACAATATATATAATACTATGTCAAAAGGTATATGGATACCATCTGTTCATTATGTAACAACATTTCAATAGAATAAATCTATCAAAATAAGACATTACATAGATGATAATTTACCAGAAAATACAGATTACTAATGAAAAAAACCTTATAATTGAA